GACCCATGGACCATTATTTTCTAAAGACATTCTTGAACTGAGGCTGTTAAAAAGCCATTGTCACTGCTAAAATCAATAATATACCTTCCATTAAATAGACTCTATTAATTTATTAATTAGATTTTTTAAAACTCTAGATCCAATTTTTCCTCTGTGCATGAAGCGTTTCCAATTTGCAGACAGCAGACGTGCCCGGGTATAAATAAACTGCAGACGTTTGTGTATGGACCTTCACATTGTAGATCCCTCTGATTAGCTTTGAGCTCGGGGCTGGTTTATCTGCATGTCTGGGGGAACGTCTTGCTTTGTTGAAGAGAAAGCAGTAGTTCTAGAACTTGGCAGTTCTGAAGAGGAACAACTGAAACAACTTTTCAGATGAGTGAATTGACGCAGCCCAGAGTTAGGTCTTTAAGTTGGTGTTAGAGAAAAGTCTGCACAGATCCTAGGCCTTACACCTTTGCTTCAACTTTGGTGCTCTGGCACTGTGAAATGGTAGCTGACTTACTGCCTGGGAAAGTGCACCAGATTTTAACTAGGGATAATTCCGCAGACTTCCTGGCCACTGTCAGTTAAAACACTTGTGACGAGTCAGCTCCCCTCATGCACACTAATGACACGCCGCATTGTCCCGCCACATGCTCCTGCAGCATAAGCGGCAGAAGGAATTAGGTGCTTGCAGCTGTTCCTAGGAATGCCTGCCTCCACATACCCACAGGCAGGCAAAAGACCTGAACGGTCTCCAAACGCCGATGCCGAAGCTATTGTGGCAACACAGACATCACAACAACAGGAACCAGTCCCCTCTCAGCCCAAGGAAGGTCCCGGATCCTAATACAAACTCATCCTTGAAGATAAATTAATCAAAGGGACATCGGCCACATGCTAATGTCAGAAGGAAATCCTGTCCGCAGGCCTCTTGGAGAAGCCTGGGGCTGCTTGCAGAACAAAGGCTCCTTCTGTGACATCATGAGGCAGGTTTAAGAGCTGCCTGGCTTCTGGCTCTGGCCACATTTCAAAACCACAAGTACATCCAAGGGCAGCCAAGACAACGACAAAGCCAGAGATACGGTCTCCAAAAGAGAAGACCAACTCCTCCTTCCAGGCCTACCTTCCTCCTGGCGCTTGGCAGCCAAGGCTCCATTCTTCCCAAGGAGAACGTCCAAGGCACTGGATTCAGACAGGGGACTGACCCCTGTGCAAGACGATAGATCAGAGGACACCCACAGCTGGTGCCAACATTCTGAAGAGGCTGGAGCACAGCGTCTGGGGAGGGACCTATAGTACCCTCTGGGTTCTAAGCCCAGCTCAGTCAGCCACTAGGGTATGATCTTAGGTGCCTCAATATCCCATTTTCTCAATTGTAGATGATGATGATATTGTTGTTCACGATGAAATCTGCTAGTCTCTCACACAGGAGCACGATACACGGACAGGATAATTTCTAAACATATCCTTTAAGATATTTTAAAACTATAAAGTACAAAGATACTAATAATCAGGAAGATATGACACATGTGGATATGACGGCTTAAGAGTGCAAATTTTTAGGTCAAAGAGGAGACTTTCTCTCTCGCTGCTGCCTGGGGCATTCCACAGGGTGGCTGTTCAAGTAATATTCAAATTATAATAAAGGTGACTTTTTGGCTGGGCGTGGTGGTTCACGCCTGTAATCCTAGCACTCTGGGAGGCCAAGGCAGGAGGATTGCTTGAGGTCAGGAGTTTGAGAACAGCCTGAGCAAGAGCGAGATCCCATCTCTACTAAAAATAGAAAAAAATAGCATGGCATGGTGGTGCACACCTGTAGTCCCAACTACTTGGGAGGCTGAGGCGGGAGGATCGCTTGAGCCCAGGAGTTTGAGGTTGCCGTGAGCTAGGCTGACACCACAGTGCTCTAGCCTGAGTGACAGAGCAAGACTTTGTCTCAAAAAAAAGGTAACTTTTTAATATTAATAAGCTAAGCATAAATTTGCAACAAATCAGAGTACTTCACAAGATAAGGGGGTGCTTGTCTGGAGGGCTTCTTTCCGAGGTAGGTCAGGTACCCATGAAGAGAGGCTCTGGGCTCCCCAGGATGGCACCACTACCATGAGGCCAACACCCCACACACTGAGACAGCAAGTTTTCAGACCTGACTTCTGGGCGAATCACTGTTAACCAAAATTAACCCTTGAATTCACTATGAAAAGAAAAAAGAGGTGAGTGAGCTGGAGTGGGCAGTCGGTGTTTCTCAGCTCCTTTAAACTGCAGGAGCTGAGTGAGGAGACCACCTGCCATTTCTCTCTCACTGCATTTCTGTTGTGGCATGTCAGGCAAAACCTCCCTCTCTAGAGCCTTGGGTTGTCATTCACACCACTTATCCCTAGCTTTCCACCTGTAAAAACTCTGTTTATATCATGGCTGGTTCCATAAAGGAATTGAGGCAGCTCATAATCTTATTAGGAACACTTAAAAGAAAAAAAAAAAAGAATACAAGGTACTTTGAACTCCTCAAAATTGGGAACATCTCAAGAGACTTTTAAAAATGTGTTAGCAAAGTGAATATATTACATACTGGGAGTAGGGTGATAGGACTTCATGACCCTTTGACCCAAAACTGTGTGCCTTTTCAGTCAGCATAATTCTTGAAGAATATGCATTTGTTACTTCCTGTATTCGTCTTTAACAATAAGATATTTTAAGTTAAGAAGAAAAGATGTGAATTTGGATTAATGTAGCTCTGAATCATAAACAAACCCTAAACCAGCAGCGCTTGTTAAGTCTTCCACAGCTTGGACTTCAAACTCAGGACTTGTGCCCACCCTCCGATAAGATCTTTTACAGAGATCCGACCTCTGTCCAAGTCTGTTTTCAAATCAAAAAGCTTTGAACTCCTGGCAGGTTGACAGCTTGGATCTTGGGTGTTTATCAAGAACTTCCTCAAGATAGGAAGGGTGACTCCATCACCACCACCTTCCCCCACCCCCCTCTGCGGAATTTCCCTTTGGAAGAGTTGGCACCCAGCCAGGGTCTCAGAACTTCAAGGACTGAGTCTGTGAATTGCCTGCATCTGGTACATGGCTGATACCTAGCTCAATGCGGAGTTTAAGTTAATAAATAAAAAGTGGTCTTTTTATTTAAGCCAGGTGACAGTTGGTTCTGACATCACATGGTACAGCTTGGCATTTACGCTCACTTTTGGCAGGCTGGAAGTTATCTGTCTTTGCTGGTCACTTTCTGCATCCTTGCCCAGTAAGTGCCAATGATGCGATATTAACAATCCCGTGCACAGGTATGCACCTCCATAGTTACCTGTTTCATTAGCAGGCTGCCTGCCAGCTCTCTGAGCTGGGAGGTCACTCACCTAGATTCTGCAGAGCAGGTCCAGGGCTTTCTAAACTCCAGGATACCCTGGGGAACCTTCTAATCTGGTGTCATAAACAGTTCAGTGCTCCCCAATGCTTCCTAAAGAGAATATCTGGGCCTCCACTTATTTTCTTCTTGTACTACTGCAATTACGAAACTAAAACATTCTGAACCTTGTTTGCCTAGCGCTCTACCAACGTCTATACTATTTTCCTCTCAATTTGCTACACTCCAGCCACAGGCCATAACAGCTTCCTGTTGGTTTTTTCAAACATACCAAACTTGTTCCCAACTCCAGTTTTTTGCACTCAATTTCTCTATGCCTGGAATAGTCTGGAAGGCCCATGGCTGCCCTCTCCCATGATGCAAGTCTTAGCTTAAGTATCTCCTCAGACCTCAGATGCTTGTCTACCCTACCAAAAAAGATGTCACCCCCAATAAATCTCCAGCACATTACTCTATTTCCTCTGTAGTGCTGACTATAATCTGCAATTATCTTATTTTTACTTGTATCTATTATCTATGTCCCTCACTAGAATATAAACTCTGGGAAGACATTGCTTCAGATGCTCCACTGCTACCCTGTTAGTTCACATATTTCCACCACTCTGTAAAAGGGCAACAGCAAGTTACTGCAATAACTTGGCTGCTAGAATGTCTCCAGTGCTACACCAGCCCTTCAGTTAAGATAATTAGAAGGACTGGGCAAAATTTTCCTGGTGAAGCCCTGGGGCTTATAAAATCAATGTAGTCTAATGAACATAGGTGCTCAATATATAGATATTAAACAAACTAATGAGCTAGGATCAAAGTGACTTTCTTTGCTACAAGGTTGGACAAAAAGAGAGGCAACAGAAGAAACTGCCCCATTCTTTACCTGATAGCATCAAAGGTTGCTGATCTTCCCTAACAGGAAAAGGAGTGCACAGTTTCCAAACTAGCTCTAACAAGCAGAAACCAATCATAGCCAGGCTCCTTACAATCCCAGAAAAAAAGCATTTACAACCATAAGGCTCATTTGTACAGATCCCTGGCATACACAGGGAAAAATCAATTCTTGTTCAAAAGTATTCTGAAGCTGACCTGGTGGTGCACCCACACAAAATTTTATTTCGGCATGTTGATAACTGAATATAAGGAGATACAGGTCCTAATTTATAGACATCCTAACATCTCTATAGAATTGGATGGATGTAGTTCAGAATCTGATAGTATGATAAAAAAACACAACAACTTGGGCTTTCTTTTATGTGACTTAATGATATAGGAAAACGGATTTTAAAGTACCCTCAAATATTGAATGATATTAAGAAACAGTTAATTTTTTAGGTATTATACATTTTTATATTTTGGTTTTATATATATAATTTTAAAATAAGAGTCCTTATTTTTGGGAGACACATACCAAAATATTTACAGATAAAGTAAAATGAGATCTGAGATTTGCTTCAAAATAATAGCAGAGGAGGAGAGGAAGTAGGTGGGAGTACAGACAAAACAGGACTGGCCATGAGTTGGTAACTGCTAACGCTGGGTGATGGGTCCATAATTAAACCATTTGCTCGACTTTGTAATGTTTGACATTTTTCCTAATAAAGAGACTTTTTAAAAAGCCCTCTAAGATAAATCATTTTCACCTGTGAAATTACAGACGTTACCTGAAGGAGAAGGTTTCCCCTTTCCAGTCTTGCAGTGGGTTCTCTTGGATGACGTCCTGGGTCAGAGGCGAGTTCTGCCGTGGGGATTTGGAGTGAGGGAGGGTGCCCACGTGACTGAAGTTATCGGAGGACCTTATGGGAGGAGGGCCTTTTTTCTTCCGTGGAAGGGTGCCGTGTATAGACACATCCTGGTAGGCATCTGTGCGATGCTCAGCGAGAGGGGACTTGCTGCTCAGAAGGTCCATGGATGAGGCCAGGGGGAACTGGTGATTCACTGGCATGTTTCTGGGAAGGCTTGCAAATTTTCCTGCAGCCATGATTCTCAACTCTAAGGGGGAAAAAAAGAGTGAAGGTATAAATCTAAGGTAATCACAAGAACTGACTTCTTACTTACAAAAGGAAATGGAAATATGCCACACAACAAACAAAAATATTCACAGAGCGTTAAAAGATCACTTAATGGCATCACTAGTAGAGTCTAAGAGGAATGGGGAGTTTACTCATCTTCCTCTTTTATGATCCCACGGAGGGATTCTCCTGGCTTGGCAGCAAAACCAAAAGGGCAAACACATCTCATAGTTGTTAGAAGCACACAAGACATTTCATTATTTCAGACAACTGAGGCTGACAGAAACGCACAACTAATAAAAAAAAGATTATTAAGGGAGGACTCATGGTTTTAGGAATGAACTCAAGAGAAGATGTTGTAAATTGTTGGATAATTAACTCACGTATTTCTACCATCCTGTAAATGATAAGAACAGGCGGAGATTATTGGAATTCTTTAGCTGCTAGACTGTCTTCAGTGCCAGACCAGCTCTCAGCTGTGCTACCCAGAGCAATGGGACAGAATTTTTCTAGCAAAGACTTGGTGCTTATAAATAAATCAATGTACTCTAATTAACGAAGACAGGCCGGGGTCGGGGGTCAGGAGGTGGGCCATTCTTCCATACATCAGTGGGTTCAGCTGCAGAGGAAAGCCACTGGGGGCGGGGGCTCCCTGGACATTCTCCCCAGAGGGGTCAGGAGCCTGCCTGCCACCAGCAGGGTTAGGCAATGCTCATGGGTACCTATACAGTCAGGGAAGACTAAAAAGGAAAGGGGAAGTAAAAAGTGGGGGGAGGCAGCGAGGGAGCATGGAAAAAAAGGAAAATGGCACGTGAGGTTGTGTGCAGAAGTAGCCCCAACAATTGCTCCCAGCTATGACTGCCAGTAGAAATGCTCACCTTGAGCAGAGTCCATGCTCCGAACCCTAAGAAAAGCAAGCTATAGATTTGACCTAAGCCAATTATATAACACATTTTTAAGGCCAACCTACAGAGAAAAAGAAACAGAAGCCCAAATAAGAATTAGGGCTAGGCCCTGGAGACAGAAGGCTCCAGAATCTGTCCTACGTTAGTAATGATATCCGCCTCTGGTCTGGACAACACCATGGGACAGCTAAGCCTAACGCACTGCCCTTCTCAAGGCTGGTGAGGGGGGCAGCTGTTTGCTCTGCAGTGGGTTCTGGAGCCCTGCATCCCCACTCCTCACAGACCATCCTTTCCACTGCAGTAGTCCAGGAAGAGCTTTCAGTGAAAATCCTCACTTAATAGCACTATTAAAGAGTCAGTTCCTTAAAGGAACTGGGGACTTAGGATGTGGCTGGAAGACAACCAAGAACAATGCAACCCTCCATAAGCTGATAGAGATGGAATCGGGATAAAGACAGCAGAGCGTGCCAAGGAAACACACTGCATGTGCAACAAAACACACATGACCCACTGCTTCCACCTACAATAGAGAGGAGCACACAGGTGCTGGGGGTGGGGTAGGAGGAGACCCTTTACTCAAGGCATATAATCCTAACCCTGTTCTCAGTTCTTTGCCAAACCTGGGGCTTGTCTGTTCCGTATCTAACTGGGACCACACAGAAGGTCTGGCTCACAGCGGGTGCTGAACAATAGGACTGTGGGTCCTGTGCAGGCCCCTCCTGGTTCTGGCCAGCACCTGGCACACTGTCAGCACTTGCTCAATGTTAATCATTGTTATTAAAAAAAAAACCAAAAAAAAACCTCCCCAACGCCCCACTCCAGCCTGACCACCAGTGACGTAAACTGACTAGGATTCCTCCACCCTACACAGACATACATACACACACACACCCCCCAAGCTATGAACTCTTGCTGCTTCAAACTATCTGCACCTTCCTTCTTCATAGACAGGCCTGAATAATTTCAAGGACTCCCTTGTGAGGAGGCCTATAGCACCCTACAGAACCTCTTCATGTGCACAGGGCCATGTTGTTGATCAAGCCTCTTTCCAAGATAGTATGATGGGCAAAAGTTACCCTAGCTCTGGTGTCTTTGGCAGCCTGTTTCCTCTCTGCTTATCCAAGATCTACCTAGGTTTCAAGATTGAGTTAAAGTGCTCTAGAATACCTTTCATCCAGTTACCCACACCTCAATTTATTATCTAATAACAAGGGATGTTCACACCTCCCCTTCTTACCTTCAATTCAAAAACCATTTAAGCGCCTACTTCATATAAGACACTCAGAGAAACAAAGATGCCTAAGCCCCAATTCCTATGAACTCTAAGAGAATAATATAATTCTTAAATAGAGACCCTTATGCTGGAAGGAACAATTAATTTTGATGAAAGGACTTTAGGAGGATCTCAGAGAGGGTGACAATGGAGACAAAGCATTTTGAAAGCTTGAAATTTGTAGGGAAAAGTGTTCCAAGAGGATCCTGTAATGGCAGATGCATAAAGCCATGGGAAGTGTCCCCACAGGCTCGGGACACTGCAAGTTGCGTGGTGTGGCTGAGTGAAGAGGTCAAGAAGCATTTCCTGAAAGAAGCATAGCTAGGACCAGACCATGGAGTCTTGAAGGCCCTACCAAGGTATCTGCACTTGCTTGACTACTTTAAGTGCTAGGGAAGATCTGGAAGGGAGAGACAGAATCCAGTCTGTGCTCAGGTAGGTAACTGATAATTCTGGAGGAAGAGAAAGAGTAGGCAGGGAGGTCCCTGGACAACCTATGGAGGAACAATAAGGAACTCTGACCTGGGGCAGTGGCCGAGGGAAGCGGACAGAGTGAAGAGACATCAGTACTTGAGGCCTCTGGCTGGAAGGAAAGGGGGCTACAGCCACAGGAGGATGGCACGATGCTGTAATATGCCATCTAGTTTCAGCAGGGAACCCGTGCAGGACTCAAGCTCACCACTGGAGCTGCTGCAGGTGAGGTACCAGCAGACAATTCAGTCAAGAAGGAGCTTAGACACTGCTATGCAGTTAGGAGTGAAGGCAGATGTAGATTTTTAGGAGTCATCAACATAAAGGGAATATTTAAACCAGAGAGTAGATCCCTTAGCTTGTTATTATCAGATGTGATAACAGATGTGAAAGCACGTCTTAAACTGTCAGGAACCATACAATAGCCATGAATTATATCCCTGCTCTCTCTCACCGTGGCTGCTTCAAGGCTACAAGGACCAAGGCAGGAATGAGTTCTAAAAATATAAAGTGGTGGTTCTCAACCTGGCTGTACATAAGAATCCTCTAGGGGGGACGGGTATATGCATACACAAAGAGTGCAATGCGCACCACCTGAAGAATGGACATATTTGAAACTCAGACTTGGGGGGGAGGCAAGGGCAACATACGTAACCTAAACATCTGTACCCCCATAATACGCTGAAATGAAAAAAATAAATAAATAAAAAAGAATCCTCTGGGAAGCTTTTAAAATCCTGACGCCCAAGCCTCAACCCAGAACAATGAAATCAGAATATCTGTGTGTCGGACACTGGCATCATCTGTAGAGCTCCAATGTGGAGCTAGGACCACTAGACTAGCAGGTCTCTTTGGAACAGAGCAATTTATACTCAGAATTGTTTGCCTGGGTAACAGAATTAAATGACAATGAAGAGGTATCATTTAATCAATAGAAGCATTCACTCATTCTTCAACACACACATTTATGGAAGGCCTGCTATGTGGCTGGCACTGTGCTAGGTGTGGGAACAGTGTCAGACAAGACAGAAGTGGTCCCTGTCCTCATAAGGTTAATACTCTATGGAGGATACAGACAATAAGTAATGACCATACATGTTGGTAGTTCCTAGTTCATTTTTTGAGATAAGGGAAATAGATATTCATTCATTAAATATATATCCTCTGAGGGCTTTCAGTGTACGAGAGCCGAGGATATAATAAATTAGACAAGGTCCTGCTCTCACGAAGCCTACATCGTGATGGGAAGCCCAACTAACACAAAGAAACACAAAGAATATAAACTAGGTGATGTCCAAGTTGTAAGCACTCTAAAGAATACAGAACAGGATGAAATGATAGAAGATAATGGTTGGGGGTGAGGGGCTACTTTACATTAGGGTGGACCGGGAAGGCCTCTCTGAAGAGGTTACAATGACGCAAAACCTGAAGAAAAGAAAAGGAACCATTGGAGGAAAGAGTTCCAGCCAGGGGATCTGGCAGATGCAAAGGCCTTGAGGCAGGAACGAGTGGTTGGAACAGCACCAAGGTGAAGAGTAACTCGCAATCTCCAGGCTCTGGCTCCCATGTTTTCTCCATTGGAAATGTTTTTGTCTTGATGTCCCTGGTCATTATATACTTCTTAAGTACTATTTCACTTTTAAAAATCAAAATGGTATCATTCTGAACCTAGGCTTTGGAGTCTGATATTTACAAGTTCAGATTTCTATTTTGCCACTGACTTACTAGCTGTATGGCCTGGGACAAATTACTCAACCTGACAGTTTCTCATTTGTAAAAATGAATTAACAATACCTATTTCACGGGACTGTTGTAAAAAGTCAAATGTGATCATGTCTACAGAGCCCTTAACATACAGCAAGCACTCAGTAAATAGCAGATCTCCTCTAAGCAGGGCAGGGGCCACATTGCCTTGTTTGTCACTGTATCTCTGCTATGGCGAGAGTTCACAAATGAAGTCACTGCTCCTGGGGAAGACTGCAGCTGGAAGAATGAGGAGGGAGATGTTTAAACCTAGAACAATAGATGTAAACACTCCAAGCAAAGTAGGACACGGACACAGACACACAGACAGGCACAGCAAGTGAGCCATATGTAGTCTTTAAAAGAAAAGCCCACGTGAGACTTTGGCCATCTGACTTCACTTCTCTCTACTGTGCAGGAAAACAGACACAGTGCCCTGACCCAGCATAATGCCATATCTTGAAATATATACAAAGGTCAAAGACTCTACGTCTTGATATGAAAACATGAGACCCACGTGAACATCAGGGATAAGAAAGGGACAAAATCTACCATAGCCCTGACCCTACTCAGTGGCTCCACCGTAAAATGCTTGTGAACAGCAGCCCAACTCACTTCCTTTACAAAGATGTCTCAAAGAAACTGATGATCTTGCAAGTTGAGGCAGAAATAAGCAGTCCACTTATTTGGATTTTTCTTTTATTTCTGAAATGGGATATTTTCAAGTTAAACTCATATGTGATTATCTGATGTGGGCTTTTTATCATATTTTAAACTTTGCAAATGTAACCTCCTCAGCTGCCCCATGATGACGATGACTGAGAATTTACAATTTGGATCTGTGGTTTTATATCTTCTCTGGAGAATCAGACAGGCAGAGGAGATGGAACAACCGCTTATCCACTTAAAATGAAGTTTTGCTTGGGTTTAGGAATTAAGGGTATCTCATTATTTTTGAAGTAAACTTACGAAGTCTAGCCAAATGATTAAAGTATGAATAATTCTTCCATGGATTGTATTTCAAGCAACAACACACTACAGGATTTAAAACGATAAGGTTCTTAAGATTAGCATTCATTTGACAAACAGTTCTTTCTATATGACTAGGAGATTGAGATCTTGGTTGGTCACCCTGGAAATGTCAGGCTTCTCAGCAGCAGTTCGGAGAAAGTTGGAATTCGGGCGGTGGTGACGGAGCCCTTGGCATGTTAAGGTGTTTACGGCACATTCAACACGCCCCCTGGCACACCCGTGCACAAGCACTTTGCCTGTGGGCTTCCCAGTTATTCTCTGGGCAGCCCCTTCCCACTAGGACCTGGGCCCTGCTGAGCCCCGCCCCCAGCGTGGAGGCCTCGGTCCCTACAAATACCGAGGGGGCCATCGGCTCCCAAACTGACCTTCCCTCGGCCAATGTACTTTCCCTGGAGAGGTCTGTGTAGCCTTGGGAGATAAGAGTCAAGGTTTAAAAGACTCTCTGCACGGCTCTACTTTCCATCTCAGCCGGTGGCTTTAAGAGAATGCAGACACGAGATTAGGCAAACGGGTTTTCCCTTTTGCACCTTGCTTCAAGCGCGTTAACACCAAAACCAGAGTTCTCACCCCCAAAACCCCCACCACGACCCACCGCCCCACAGAACACGCCGCCTTGCCAGCTGCTTCGGAGCTCGCTCGACCTCCTCCCCGACGAGCGTCTACACCTGATCCAACTGTTTGAAAGCGGTGGGAGCCTCAGCGGCTTAAGTGGATAAGGAAAGATGGGCTGTGATCCGAACCTCTTTCCCGTCGCGCCCACCGTCCCTCCCTTCCTGTGCCTTCCCCTCCCCTCCCCCTGCTCCCCTCCCAGACGCGGAGGGAGCGACACAACCGACTATTCATTCTTTCTCAACAAAGGGAGAGAGGGAGGGAGTGTTGTCAACAGTTACGGGGCAGGCTCCTTCGCTTTCTTTGCGAACTTCCCAAGAGATTAGTGGAGAACTCGCCTCCTCCGAGCCCAGGGCTTCCAGCGGAGCCCTCTGGGCCCCCGCGTCTCCCCGACCCCGGCCGGCCTCGGCGGAGAGGGACGGGACAGGGGAGCGGTGACCCGCCGAGCAGCCTGGACGGGCAGGGGGTCCAGCGAGGCCAGCGCCCGGGAAGACGCCGCTCGAGAGCAAATTGGCAGAGATGCTCCCCGCAAATCGCTGGGCGTCTCTCGCTGCGGGCCGCGTCCCGGGAGCCCCAGCGCGTTCGGAGGGCGGTAGAGCACCGGCCCCGTCCCCACTTCAGCCGCTCCCGCCCCCAGCGCCAAATCTGCTGGGGGAAAAGACCAACACGCGCCGGCTCTACTTTCCCCAGAGCCTAACTTTCTGCAACAAACTCCCAGCCCGTCCTAGCCGTGGCGGGGGAGGCCCAGGCACCCCCGCGGACGCGGGGCGCACGGCGGAGACTCACCTCCCGGCGCGCTCGGGCTCTCCCGCTGCGGCTCAGAGGCGCGGCGCCGCCGGCCTCGCACCGCCCGCGCCGCGGCTGCTCCCAGAGCTGGGGCCGCTCATGGTCCGCACCGATCGCCCGTGCGCCCCGCGAGTCCCTCTCCGGCCCCGGCCCGGCCCCCGCCCGGCAGCAGCAGGCGCGGCTCTGAGCGGGCGGCGCGCACTCCGGCCCTCAACTGGTGATTTGCGGCTTCGCGGCCCCACCCCGGCGAGCCGATTCGCGCTGCCTTGCGGAACCCCGAGACATTTACATTCGGTGACCTCGCCTGGCCCTCCTCTGCCCGGATTTTAGAGTTTGGCTCTCCTCCTATCTCCTGGAGAAGCCAGTCCTCACGTGTAGGTCGAGCACTTCCTTTCTGAACCCCTCTCAAGAGACAACCTCGCCTGATCCGCCCTTCCCGCTTCCCAGCGTTATTTAATTACCCAGCAGATCTGCTTTGCTCCACTGCAGACACCTGGCTGGCTTTCAGTTTAAAGGGCTTTGATGGGACAAAGACCCAGGTAATCACACATGAACAAGCCACAGAAACAGGCAAATCAACCACACTTGCATGGACATACTGAAAGCAAAGTGGGAGGTGGAAGTGGCCCTTCGGTACTAGGTGTTCTGGTGGGTGAAAAATTGGAGCCTATTGGAGGACTTACACTATCAGATAAGACCCATTATGAAGCCACAGAAATAGTACAACGGTAGACAAACAGGCCAATGGAATAGTGAGTCCAAAACTAGATCTACAATATATGGTCCCGTGACTTATGTCAAAGGTGCTGCTGTGGTGCATTTGGAGACAAATGGGTCTGTCTTTCCAGTAAATGATGTTGGATCAACTGAATATGCACATGGAGGGGGAAAAGAATCTTGACCCCTACCTCACACCATACCAAAAAGAAAAAGAAAACAATCCATTCCAGGTGGATTTTAAAGGTAAAACAATAACACTATCGAAAGAAAATATCCAAAAGTATCTTCGTGACCTTTGGGTAGGCAAAGATGTCTTAAACACATATAGTACTAATTTTAAAGGAAAAAACTGATCACAGGACAACATTAAAGTTACATACTTCTGTTCATGAAAAGACACCATTAGTGAAAAGGCAAACCACAGAGTGTGAAAATATAGTTGCACTTGGACAAGAAGTAAAAGTTGTTTTTTAAAAAAAGAAAAGAAAATATATTAATTGCAACACACGCATCCAAAAAAGGGCTTGTGTACAGACTATATAAAGAACACTGCCAGATCAGCAAGAATAAGGCAGAAAATCCAATTAAAAACAGACAGAATATCTCAACAGACATTTCTCAAGAGAGGATAAACAGGTATGTCTCAAAAAGCCAATGAACATATGAAAAGGTTCTCAATTTATTAATCATCCCAGAAATGTAATTTGAAATTATAATGTGATCTCACTTCACATCCATCAGAATGGCTAAAATTAAAGGGTCCAACAATACTGCTAGTGAAAGGGAAATTTTTAGGTGTGCAGTGGTGGCTCATACCTATAATCCCAGTACTTTGGGAGGCTACGGCAGGAGGACTCCTTGAGTCCAGGAGTTTGAGAACAGCCTGAGCAGCATAGTGAGACTCTGTCTCTACCAAAACTTTAAAAATTAGGTGGGCGTGGTAGTGTGTGTCTATAGTTCCAGCTACACAGGAGGCTGAGGCAGGAGGATCACTTGGGCCCAGGAGTTTGAGGTTGCTGTGAGCTAGGGGCTGAGGCCATGGCACTCTAGCCTGGGCAACAAAGCAACACTCTTGTCTCTATTAAAATAAATAAATAAAAACAGAACTTTTTATAACCACTTTAGAAATCTGTTTGGCATTATCTATGAAAGCTAAATTAACATATATCCTGTGACTCAGCAATTCCACCCCCAGGCAGTTAAGGTTATTAAGTATGAAATGTCCGATTTCCTTAGGTACTAAGTTTAACAGTTGATAACGGACATTTCACTTTGACACTTGTTTTATTTTTGTGAAGGTACATTCTCAGTCTTTCAAACACACATTTTGGCTTGTGATTATCTTCCAAATTTTTTTAGAGCAATTTTTGTGAAACCATGGATAAGTCAAAAATTCATGTTATTTTTGAATGTGAGTTTCATCGTGGAACCAATGCAGCTCAGCTCTAAATATCAGTGAAGTGTTTGGGAGGATGTGGTTAATGAACGGACAGTACATCAATGGTTTGAGAAGTTCCATTCTGGTGATTTTAATCTTGAAAATGAGCCACATAGGTGACCTGAGACCAAGGAGGATAATGATGACCTGAAAGCTGCAGTGGAAGTGAATCCATCTCAACCTAAGCATGAATTAGCAGCAAGGTTTAATGTTACTATTCCAACAATATTGGACCATTTGAAACAAATGGGTAAGGTAAAGAAGCTGGACAGATGGGTACCGCATGAATTAAAGGAGTGTCAGAAGAGAAATCATATCGAAGCTTGCCTTTCTTTGCTGTCATGACATAAATGTGAACCATTTCTACACTGTATTGTTATGTGTGAGGAAAGATCGATTCTTTTTGGCAATCACAAGTGTTCAGCACAATGGTTGGATAAAGATGAAGTGCCAAAACACAGTCCAAAACCAAATATTCATTAAAAAAAGCTAATGGTGTCTGTTTGGTGATCCAGCGCTGATATTGTCCAATACAGCTTCATGAAACCTGGTCAATCTATTACAGAGGATGTCTGCTGCAACCAATTGGACAAAATGATGAGGATGCTTGTGATTTAGCATCCGAGATTGATCAACAGAGACAGGCCAATCCTCTTGCAAGACAACTCTCAAACACATGTCTTACAAACACGCTGCTCAAACTATAGCACGTGGACTTGGAAACTCTCTGTATCCACCATATTCACCAGACCTTGCACCAACTGACTACCACTTCTTCCAGGCTTTGGACCACTTCTTGCAAGGAAAAATATTCAATTCTCAACAGCTGTGGAAAATGCCTTTTGTGATTTCATTGCCACTCACTCTCCAGGTTTCTTCACTGCTGGCATAAACAGGCTACCATTAAGACGGCAAAACTGTATCAGTTTAGACCCATACTTTGATTAATTGTACTGCTTCTTGTTTGAGATATAATAAACTACACCTTTCATTCAAAATCAGACATTTCATATTTAATGACCTAATATATAGGTCTATGCCCAAAAGAGACATATGCATATATTCACCAAAAGATGTTCAATAACCCAAATGTCATCAACAGAAGAGAGATAAACTGTGTGGAATACTACACAACAATAAAAATGAATGAACTACCTCTACACTCAAGAAGAATGAATGTCACAAATGTTTTTGAGTGAAAGAAGCTGAACACAAATGGGTACATATTCTATAATTCCATTTACGCAAACTTCGAAAATGGTCAGAACATACCTGTGATGTTGAAAGTGAAGATGGTGGTTACCTTGAGGGGTAGACAGTGATGGAAGGGGAACCCGGAGGGGGCTTTTGGGTGCTGGTAATATTTTATTTCTTAGTCTAGGTACTGGTTACATGGGTGTGCCTCATTTAATAAAAGTTAACTGTTCCTCAGTGTATAAAAATTAATTGATTTGTGCATGACTCTGCTTGTATGTTTTACTCTAATAAAAATATATTTTTTAAATTGTGCTATATTGAGTATATAATTTTCATCCCTCTGAGAAAGAACTGTTGGCAAATCTATAAGATCCTAAGTGCTGCACCCTTAAGAATGACTTTCTACGTTTTCCTTATGAGTGTTTTTGTGGGTTTGTCTTTATCCTTTCTACATTATTAGAGGCATAAATCTTTGATTTTTGTTGAGTTTTTCCAAAGTGCTTAGTGCCCTGAATATCAAACAGACCAGCTGGTATATTTCTAAACTGGAGTATCAGAAATTCGTTTACTGATTTTTCTGCTGCTCTGAAGTGTCACTGAAAACAGTGGCAAAATTCACATTGGTTTTTCTTGATTTTCAAAGTTCCCTAAGTACACGTTCCTACTGTAGAGCAGCACGGAGAGACAGCAATAAAGAAAGACCAGAGGACAACTCACACCCAACGGGACCTTGGACAAGTCATTCCTCCTCTTAGTCCCTCCATTTCCTCATGAGTGAGTGAGTGAATGGATATCTCCCTCCTAGGGCTCCTGTGAGAAGTCAAGGAAATAATGGAAGTGAAAGTGCTTAGCACATAGTAGGTTTTGTTAGCTATCACATAGTAGGTTTTGTTAGCTATCGCTAGAATTGATGACAATCTATCATTCATCTTCATCCTGTGAGACAGGAGGCATCTCTATCCCCATTTTATATAAGAGGAAATAGACTCAGAAAGGTTAAGTGACTTCAACCACAAATTCATTCCATAAATACTTGTTGCGTGCCTACTATGTGCCAAGATGCATAGCTAGTGAGCAGCAAAATCAGAATTTGAATCAAGTATTTTATTGTATTTTTAAATTTTATTTATTTATTTGTTTATTTTGAGGCAGAGTCTCACTCTGTTGCCTTGGGTAGAGTGTAGTGGAATCATCACAGCTCACTACAACCTCAAACTCCTGGGTTCAACCCTCAGCCTCTCAAGTAGCTGGGACTACAGGTGCATGCCACCACATCTGGCTAATTTTTTGTATTTTTGGTAGGAACAGGGTCTCTCTCTTGTTCAGGCTGGTCTCAAACTCCTGACCTCAAGCAATCCTCCCGCCTCCTCGGCCTCCCAGGATTACAGGCATGAGCCACTGCGCCCAGCCTGACTCGGGTATTTTAACTTTTAAGTTCAGTGGGTCTTTCCATCAAACCGCAACTGTGTTCACATTTGTATCTCCTAAGCCTACCACATAGTAGGTGCTCAATATGCTAACGGATGAGCAATGAGAGTACTTTAATATAATTTTTTATTGGGTAATAATCACATGGTACACAAAACTATATAATGGTATACAGTGAAAAGTTCCCCTCTTACCTCTGTCTCTCATCTGCCCACTCCCCCTCCCACTACAGATGAGCATTATTAATATCATGTGCCTCCCAGAGTTTCTGTGTGTGTGTGTGTGTGTGTGTGTGTGTGTGTCTTTTCTTACCCCTACCCCTACTCAAAAAGTAACATACTATACCCATGTTCTACACTTTGCTTTTTCTTT